CAGACCAGAGCTATGTGGCTGGCTTTCTTGCATCTGAAACCTTCAGTTTCGGTAGGGAGTCTTTTCAAGGCTTGGTATTTGGCTGCACCATTGACAGCAAAGAGGTATGTAATTGATGTCAGAGTTTTGGCTAGTGGTAGACACGATGGAGGACTAGAGTGAACCAACGCCCAAGATTGATCGGAACAAGCTCTGATACTACTGTTACTTTAAGGGAGAAGAGGTTTAGAGAATGGTTGGTAGTGTTTAGGACAATAGCTTGATGTGGAATAGAAAACTTTTTGTAAAAGTAACAAAGTAATTTTATTTGAATGGAGGAAGAAGGTTACAAAGCTTTACAGACTTCATTGGATACAAGGCAGCTGGTAGTTTTCAGCTTTTCTTGCTTAATTACATAAGTGGGCTTGCTAGCATATTTATAGAGTTCCTTAAGTCGGCAGCTTTGTTTGGAAAAGTCAGTTGCACAGTAACTGATTTTTCCAAAGTTATTTTCAGCCACAAGTTGTCTTCTAATTCTAGATTTCTCTAGTTGTAGTACATTATATAATTAGTAGGATGTTTTTAGTGACTTTAACTTGTTAACTTCTCTCAATTTTTCTAGATTATTTTATATTATTCAAGACACAAGTGTGCATTAATTTTAACACATGACTTCTTGGTAAAGTTTGCTGTCAAAGAAAAATTGAAACTTATAATAAGCCTATGTGAGACTAGTGATCACCACTTGTTGGCTTGATATATATTGTTGAGCTCATTTTGCGACACTTTAACATTTAGGGTAATAATTATCTAGCATGTTATAATATCGGAGATTTTTTGTTTGTAGCTTGATTTACATGGTTCTTCACTTATTATTGAAATATACCAATTGATCTCAGCTATTATACTATTTAGGGTAAACCTACACGATTGGTCACTTCGGTACTATATTGAATATTTCATCCTAAAAGTTGAAGCTATTAGTTATACAATATGGGGATTAATTTTGTATTCTTTGATTTCAGGTGTCCTTTGCTGGCGATAGTAATCAAATATCTGGTGTCATGGGTCTTGGATTTGGTCCCAAAAAGTTTGTTAACCAAATAGACTCTCAAGGTCAAAGCAATGGTCGTTTCTAATACTTCCTCAGACGAGAAAGAACAATGGGGGCCACCAGTTCATTCATTCGATTTGGTGCAGACATAGAGCAAGGGCCCGACCTAAGCGTGACAGAATTAAGGAGAAACAACAACATTGTACTATACTACATAAACTTAATAGGAATAAATGTCAACGGCTACATGCTCAACATACCAGAGCAAGAATTTGAAATTAAAAGAGATGGAAGTGGAGGCAGCATAATTGATTCTGGAGCTGCATTCATGACAGTTTACTCAGAGCTTTAGAAGCTGTCTTTGCAGGATATGGGGACACAGTGAAAAGGGTGCCAAGTGGGGATGTACCTTTTGAGCTTTGCTATGAGGTGTTGAAGCAAGAAGCCTTTCAAGGCTTCCCAGTGATCACATTCCATCTCCAAAACAATGCTGACATTATCTTGGATGCTGAATCTGCTTTTCTTATTGGAAAAGGTACTTCTGGAAATATGCAATTCTATTTGGCTATTATTCCTGGAAATGATCCGAGAGGTCTAAATGCTATCGGAGCATACCAGCAGACAAATTACCGTTTCATCTACGACACAAAAAGCTACAAGCTAAGCTGTTTTTTGGTGCAGAGGATTGCTTTCGTAGTTCTTAGAAGTTTTTGAGCTTCTCTCTTGGTTTTAGTCTTTAGACAACTCAATGGCTTTCTTAATAAATTTCAAATGTGTTGTTAAAGAAATATATTATGATTTTGGAATAAATGATTTATTCATCCAGATAAATTACAGATCATGTTTTAAATAGTGGAATGGCTGTTAAGGCACAATAATGATGCCTTGTATTGATATGCTTGCATTATTGCACGTATAATTCTTTTAATCATTTGGAGATATTTGTTTTTTGCCCTTTTGGAGTAAAAATTACATTTGGAATTCATTCAACCCACATCTGCTGAGCTACAAAGCATATTTGCATTGGACTGACTTTACAATATTACCAAATTACCAACACTTTTAAGAGGTGAAAAACGTGTGTAATTATGCTTTGGATAGGTTTGAAGTCTTGCGCAAAAGGGATATCACCGTTTTGTTATCCTCGCCAATCATGTTATGTCACGTGTGATAACTTTTTCACTTGACATAGCGTGATTGGCCAGAATTAGCAAAGCAGTTATGTCCCTGTTTCATATAAGTTTTTCTGCTTGTAGAGGGATTTGATTTATTAAAGTACATAATTTTTAATTAAAAAAGTAAGTTATTTTTCTAATTTTATAAAATTATTGAAGCAAGACAGAGGATTTGATTGAATATGTAGAAATCTGCAAAAACAAGATTCAGATAAATAGAAAGGCAACCCATCTGCGTCAGACAGTGATATTGATTTGTTCTGCTATCGCTGTAGCCTGCTTTTGTTGATTTCTCAAAATGACAAAAACCCAACCACCACCTCAACCACACGTACACAAACACGTTAACCTTCATGAGTTGTATTAGCGTTGGTTGAGCCTATGATTAAGGAGAGAGAACTAAAAAAACCAAAAAGAAAGATTTCTATATGATATTATATGGCAACATAATTATAAATTCCACAAATATATATTTTTATTTTTTATTTTTTATTTGGTGAGAAAAAGGCTGGTGACGAGGGGCCATGGCAATCTACACCACACCCACCTTTTATTCTCTCCCACCTTCTCAGGGGCCTTGCTTCTTCCTTACTGCTTCTATTACAATTGCCACAACCTTTTTCCTCCAAAATCTTGAGTACCCATTTCCTAAAACGAGTGTCTTCTGGAACTTTTTCAAGCTGCTTCTCTGGTATGTGAGTCTGACCCAGATGCTGTTTTGTTTGGTTTTGCATTGTTTGCCTTCCTTTGGGAGTTGGCAAGTGGGATTTGGGGATACCCATTTGTGCATTTGGGAGACATGGGTGGGATCTGGTTGCTAAATATATAAGGAATTTACAGAAAGCATATTGGTATGGAAGTCAGTTTACAATGTTTGTGACAAATTCTTTGAAAGATTTTATCTTGCATTTGACTTCAATTGGTTTTCTTTGGTCAACAGTTTAGTTTACTTTGATTCGTATCTGTTCGTTAACTGTTGGATTGATTTCCAAGGAAAGAGAAAATAAAAGTACCATTTTTGCATGCTTAAAGTTAATTCCTTGTTCGTTGCTTAATGCTGATGGTGATCATATTTAACTCTCAGGGTTATGTTAAATTGGAGACAGACTCTCACTATCAGGTATGGGTTCTGGATATTGGTTTAAGGCATTAATCGGCTTAAAGAAATCCAAGGATGGCAGTTCAAAACGATTGAAGGTATAGAGCCTTCAAAATTGAAATGTTGTTCTTGAGCGCATCCATCTTACATATCACTAAGCAATGAAGTCCACGATGGTTTAGGTTTCTAATTTATGCTATAACTATCTTACAATTATTGCTTATCCAACACATACTTGAAGGTATTACATTCTCTGTTGCTGTCACAATACACACGAGTTATATTACTAGTTTGCATCTTGAGTAAAAACTTTTTAAACTAAACCTAGTCATATAAGTGAATGCATGGTTTATGATTTAGTGGTATGGTTGCTACTAGGAATTTATATGTAATATCTCAAAATTGATGTTGGTATGTAATTGTAATTTCTCACCCGTCATTACATTTTTCTGACAGGGACCTTCAGTTAATGGAAAATCAAATTCCATAAAATTGAAAAAGTCTAGTTTTTCAAATGGTAAAAATCTTGGATTGCCAGATGAGGAAATAGCTGCAATTCGAATTCAGACTGCTTTCCGTGCATATGTGGTATGTTTAATTACAGGTTATGTAATTAAAAAAGTCAACACTGGCTATGTTTGTTCCCAGATGATCCTTTGGAATTTTGTTTTTATGTCTCTAGTTTGGCTCTGCTTATTTGGTGAACAGTTTCTAGTTTCTTGTTTCATCAGTAATGAGGATTTGGTAATTTTGTTGAATTATGTAGCAGTTTGGTCCTTTATTGCTTCAGATGAAAATTCAAACTTATCTGAAGGCATTTATGCATGAAGGAGCACTTTTTGTTATGCTGGATTTGTTTTCCTAAGACTTTCTCTCACCCATTGCAGGCGAGAAAAACTTTACGCCGCTTGAAAGGGATTGTTCGATTGCAAATACTGACCCAAGCTTATCCTGTTACAAAGCAAGCCACAACTACATTGAGCTATCTTCATTCATGGAGCAGAATACAGGATGAGATTAGAGCTCGTCGACTCTATATGGTAACGGAAGGACGGATCAAGCAGAAGAAATTAGAGAATCAACATAAACTTGAGGCGAAGCTTCATGACATAGAGGTGAGACCACCAGCTCCCACATCTAAGAACATGTCAGATTTAAAATGTACAATAGGTTTCTGCAAGTTTCTTCATTAATCGTGGTGCACTTGTGCACAGAATCATCACCTCATAATCAGCCTCAAGCCCTCATGATCACACTCACACAGCATTTGCACAACATTATTTTTCATTGTTAAAAGTCTATTATCATTTAATTACTTAGTTGCCTTAAGGTTATTTCAGTTTAGTCCATCTATTTGTAAAGTTGATTGCTTAATAACTGACTTTTTTTATGAAATGCATCAGATAGTACATAATACAAGTTGACAAGCTTTTGGCATTTGTGCTTTGTTATTCCAAATCTCTGCATATGTTGTCTGAGATCTGTTATGTGGTTTTCTCTTAAAGATCAGATGCATGAGAACAGCCATATGAGGATTGTTTTTTATACCTTGTTGTCCTTAGATAAATTGACTTTATGACTGCTTTTTTAACTCAATTAACGCTTCTGAGTAATTGTCTCAATGGATGACAGGCGGAATGGTGTGGTGGATCCGAAACAATGGATGAAATTCTTGCAAGGATATATCAAAGAGAAGAGGCAGCAGTTAAGCGTGAGCGGGCTATGGCATATGCCTTTTCTCATCAGGTATACTGTTTTCTTGTATGCACTTTATCCTTTGGTTTTGACCCTAGAATCAATTGAGAATGAAAACACATTTCCATGATTTGTAGTGGAGGGCCAACTGTAGTCAGAGCCAAGGATTGGGTAATTATGAACTTGGCAAAGCTAATTGGGGTTGGAGCTGGAAAGAACGATGGATTGCTGCTCGTCCATGGGAAAGCCGTGTGCAGTCACCTAGCCCAAAGAAAGTACTGAGTAAGCAAGCTAGCAAGGTTGGTAAAAACACAAATTCACCAACGCCAAAAACTCCAGTTTCAGTCAAGCTCCCTTCATCAAATGGTAAGGGAACTACAAGGGCTCGGAGATTGTCTTACACAGCAGATGAAGTAAAACCGGTTGCACGTGCAGAGGGCATTAAAACTGAAGAGAGGAACACTCAGAAATAAATATTGACTTGCTGGTTTTGGGCCAACGGTAGAGACTAAATAAGAATGTCTTCCGTATGTTATCAGTTCAAACTGCAGAAATTTGAGGGAGGATCCATTTTTTAATATAGGCGGTCATTTCTGATTCTTGTACATGGAGTGGTGTGGAAGTTATATGCTTGGGCGTGCAGTAAAGGATTATCGAACAGGACCTGGATTTGGGACTGACCAGAGCATCCTTCTATGATTTTTTTCTCCCTATTCTTCATTTTGATGTATATTCTTAAAGAAGGAAAATATTATATTTATGGTGTAAATAGACAATCTATTTGTTGATGGGTGATTATACTGTGCTTTTGCGCATTGTAATTAGTAATTACTACAGTTGTTCTTCACATTTTCCACCAGCAGGCTGAAGTGATTTATGCTGCTGCAAGTGTTGATCTTTGAATTACTTTGTGTTACATCATTATTCTTCTAAATTGATTGACTATTGAATTCAGTATCATATATGATTTAGCTTTTTCTTCAATCAACCAGATTTTGTGTGAAGGGTAAAATTCGAAGAAAAAAAAGATGAGCATCGAGGCCACAAGAACGATCATTAAATCAAAGTCTAAGCCTTTAGGTGCTCTGCACAAACGAGATAGGTTCAAAAGGGTAGCTGTATGTATGTGTTCATTAAACTCCTCGTCCTTCACCTACAAAAGAGGATGAACTAAATAATGCTTGCCTAGTTGACATGACATGACTATCTCTATCCACTAAGAAAATGGAAAACACAATTGTTAAACGAGGCTTTTCATGGTCTTATAATTGCAACTCTAATCTCCTTTTGTTTTTGCAGGACTAGGTTGCTGACTTTTTGCCCTGTTGGCACCTAAAACACATGAGAGGTTTTCTCACCAGCATTATGATATGGGATCGAATAGTTTTGATAGAGACAAGAGACACGTAACAGGAAAATTTAGTAGCAGATGGGAAACAATTTTGTAAGACTGAAAACACAATCAAAAGACTTGTTAGATCAAGTAACCAGATTCTTCTAGTACATTCTGAACATGTAATCTACCTGAGGCAAAGTCCTATGCAGGAATAGAACTAATGTGAGGAAGCAACTGGATTTGGCTAAGACATATGGCTATTGCAGATATAAATGGGATGAATTGAAAGGACAGCCTTCTCCTCCATCAGCTGCATTATAATTCCAAGCCATCAAACGTTGAAACCAAGCCACCTCCATTTTGGAATCTGATAAACTTGAGGCAGAATTGAGGGCTTCTTCAGCATAGTTCATTGAACTTAACTGGTGGTGATCAAGAACTGGTTCTTTATAACTGTTCACATTGTTCAGTTTTTCTGGTTCACCACCATAGCTTCTCTGGTGATGCTGAAACTGATGCATACTCTCTTCTTCAATGTCTTGCTCTGTCTGTTGAGCAGAGTTGTTGATATTAGTGCAGTCATACTCTTTTCCAGGTAGTTCAGACTCAGACAGAGCCTCAATTGCTGCCTTGGCCTTCTCAATGAGCCAATCAATGGCCTTACTTGGCCGGTCGTAGCCAAGGCGGTCTTGGACATCATAAAACTGTATAGCAGTCGGAGCTGACAGCCGGAACCTCCGGTCTCTAGGACCTTTGGAAGTGTACACCTTGCTGTGCCTTTCTTTTCTTGCAGTGGATCGGACAATGTGGCCTCCATGAACTTTTACAATCTTCCCATATCTCGCATTGTTGATTTCCGCTTGTTCAGATGCCAAATGTGAAGAAGAAGAGGACATTGAGTAACAACTTTTCCTGGAGGATTTTGCCATGTCGGTATTCAACATCTTGCCATTTAATGTTCCATAGTTTGGTGGTTCTTGAACATGCTGATATTGACCAATTAGTCTCTTCTGTGATTGTTGTTCTTCTTCTTGAACATCTTCTGGTTGATCTTGATCTTCATTTTCTTGTTCCTCATTCTTTGATCCTCTCTGTTGTAACATTTGCAGACGCAGAATGTCTTGTAGGTGACTCATGGATTCTCTCTTCTCTCCCTTTCTTCCTCTCAAGTTTATGGAAGATAGTGGTGCAAATAGTCTAGCAATATAGTTAATGATAGAATTAGAAACGAGGACAAAAGCTATGAATTCTGATCAGAGCTGACTGGAACTAAAGGAAATGAGAGGTATCTTTGACAGAGATGGCATGACAAAATCTGCTCAAGCAGAAGAGATCATAAAGATCACCTGTTATAAGCTAAGCACAGGCTGCATGGCATTAATGTAGAAAAAGAAGGCTTCTTTCTTCAGCCCCTTCTTCCTTGTATCAAACGGGAATGGCGCCAACTCTAGTTACTTGTAAAGTCTCTTTTTCTTGTTGGGTTTTGAGTCACAGAGCCAAAAGCCAAAACCCAACAGTGATACGTTTGGTGCTAAGGCAGACTATATAGTAAAGATTCCTCAAACGACAGGGACACTTTCAATCATATGTGTTGGTGAGTCTGGTTTTCTTGGATGGAGTTCATGTACATTCTAATCAGCTAGCTCTTGTCCTCAAAAGCTAGTCAACTAGACACATTACCTTTTTTCTTGGGGACCCTCCTAGACTTTAGGGGCTTAATTATGAACTGACGGCAAGGACAATTTTATGGTAAGAACTAAAGAAGAAGAGCATATAATATCAATGCACCCTATTAAACTTGTGACGTATTTATTAATCCGTAATCAGAATCAAAATAAGGAGTTGAATTTCTATTACGGATTACTTTTGTGTTCAATTCATCCTCATCCGATTACGGATAATAAACATGCCATTAAGCCCTTTTGATCTAAGTGAGGTTTCGAACTACAAAATGTTAACAGTTTGTTTGTTGGGCTGATATCTTGTTCCCGTGCAGAAGGAGGACAGCATGCGCAGCTGCGCAGAGAATCGTTGTAAAGAAAAAGAAAACAACTTGTGTAACCATATGGTACTCTGTCGGTCTTACAACTTAAGAAGACGATATAATGGCATGTCACATGTGCCACGACCCCACTTGATATTATTGCACTTTAAAGCCTACTCGTCCAATCCACTTACTAATATATCCTTGACAAAATTAATTAATAAATATCCTACAAATTTCAAAGAAAATACATTACAAGAAAAATTAAACATTGTTCACTTTTTGAGCTAAGCAAGCACTGCCAAAAACGACTATGTAAATACCACAAATAAACCGAATTAGCTGTGTTGTTATTAAAAATGAATTGCAACATGTATTTTGAGGATTGTAATTCTTGATTTTATTTTATTTTATCTATTACTATGGAATATAGAGGAGAGGATGCTCTATGAGAGATAAGGGTTCTTCCGATCACTCTGTGAGAGGAGAGTAGGCTATTTAGCTAGTCCTCTTGATTTTTTTTGTTTTGGACAAAAGTCCTATTGATCTTGGTTAGAATCTTTGAATGTACTTAAATAAATTATAATATAATATCGATTTTCTTAAATAAATAATAATAATAATAATAATTTAGGTTTTTTTGTTTTTGGTCTGATAATCATTTAGGGTTCAACCGTAAATAATAATCAACCGTACCATTGCTGAATTTGCCGAGTGAAACAACCAACAAACCCCAATAACTAGTCTTCTTCTTCTACTACTATTTACTATGCAGAGCTACAGCCCATGATCTCACTCCTGAGAAGGCTATCAACATCACCTCCACTACTCATGGAGCCGGCCAATTCTTGTGTAGGGTCACAGAGACTTTTGGCCTTGGCCCAACAGCTCCGTCTCTACAAGCCACCTCCTTTCTCCTCCGACGATGATATTGAGGAGCAGAGAAATGAAGAAATTGCTCACAAGGTTGTGTCGCAGGTGGGTTTTGCTGAATCTAATACCCCAATTGCACAAGACCCAGAAAGGTTCAGACCCAAGAGAGCAGCTGTTTTGCTCTGTCTCTTTGAAGGGGATGCTGGGGATCTGCGTGTCATTCTCACTAAGAGGTCATCAAAGCTGTCCACTCACTCGGGTTTGTGGAGTTTTGGGTACCCTTTGTTTGGTTCCTGAGAAAACTGAGGAATATATTTAAAAAATAGAAATCCGAAAGATTGGTTTTTGGGGTTCATATTTTTTTTTTTTTCTTTTTTGGCAGGGGAAGTTGCTTTGCCAGGTGGGAAAACAGAGGAGGGAGACAAAGATGATGGGGACACGGCAACAAGGGAGGCAAAAGAAGAGATTGGTTTGGATCCTTCGCTTGTCAATGTTGTCACTGTTCTCCGAACCATTCTTGTCTAAGGTATCAAGTTTTCTTTTTTGATTGTTCGTTTGTTAATTTCATTATTGTTATGTGGTTATTATTTGTTATGAATTTTTGCTTCATTGAACTGAAATTTGTACAATTGAGACTGTGTTGTTTGGGAAATTACAAATTAATGCCTGAGTTTCTCTATAGTGAAAGTTGAAAGTTGGGAACTTCAGTTGAGACTAGAAAGAAAGACACAACATATCTTATACTTTGTGTTTGCAACCGAATGAGTTTGAATGTAAGGCTTAGGGTCTTAAATTCCAGAAAAATGAGCAGTTACATTGGTAGATTGGAGGAGCTCTAAGAATTTGTCTGGCTGAGACAGCTATTTAGTTTCGGCATTTGAAAATTTACTTAAAAAGATGAAGGTATTCGAAAATTTTGGAGGTTAGTCTAGGGGAAGAGCAGGGTGGTTAGTGTGATTTGTTGGTTAAGTGCTTTGGATTGACTTACAAAGATAGGGTACCTAGAGGAAGAGCAGGATGACCATATTGGCATTATGACCTGTCCTCATATGAGGTACTGCAAAGTTCGGTGTAGGGTTTGCAACTTGGAAAAGCTTTCTGGATATATGAGGAACTTGATTTAGCTACCATTGGCTTTCTGCGCAGCACCTACTGAGAGTTGTCCCTGTTATTGGCATACTCAATGAAAAGGAAGCATTCAAGGCTGCTCCAAATCCTGCTGAAGTGGAAGCCGTATTCGATGCTCCATTGGAAATGTTCATCAAGGTTTGTCCCTTTAGTGTCATTGCTCTCCGAGTTAAAGCAATACAATTTTCTGTTAATTCTGTTTAAAAGATCATTTTGTATACATTTGCTTCAGGATGAAAACCGGAGGTCAGAGGAGAGGGAGTGGATGGGAAACAAGTATCTGATTCATTTCTTTGACTATGAAACCAAGAACAACAAGTACATAATATGGGGCTTAACTGCTGGTATCTTGATTAGGGCTGCATCAATTGTATACAAACGCTCACCACCTTTTGTGGAGCAGAATCCCATTTACGAGGTTCCTAGAGTTGTAGACAGAAATACCACGATTCCGTAATTTTTTTTTAAAAACTGTGTATTGGGTTGTATTTGAAATGATCATCTTTCCTGCAATAATATTTACCTCAATATGCACCATATGTTCAATAATAGGAACATTTAAGTCAGGGCAGGCATTTTTCTTTCCCTCTAAACTTTGTTTTCGTATTGTGGTGATGCGAAATGGCCTTATGATTCTCAAATTTTCAGCCTCATCAATCTGAACTCTTCTTATGTATAGTTATGATTGAAGCACGTACCTTTCTACAAGATCAATAATATACTAAACAAATGCAGTGGTGAAGGAATAGGTTAAATTATTTTCTTTTATTGTGTGCCAGCCTTCAGTTAGTAGGTAGGTTGGCCAATTTAGCCAACGTTGATCCGGTTGGCCTGTTTTCTGGCAGTCGGCAGTCCAATTTACGGGACCAGTTCACCCCGATTTGGTGCGGTTTCCTGCCGAAATTGAAAAACTAATTATGGGAACGTCGGCGGTTTTGTCGGAGCCACACCCACCCTATTAGTAGGGAAGGTAAGCGATATTCCCACGGCGCTATTCCCACTACATCTGTCTTGGAGAGACTGAGGACATAGAAAATAGGTGGCATACAGCATTGAACAAAGACTCCAAACTTTAGCCCAACATTTCAGACTCGAGAAATCAGTCATCGGGGCCTTAACTGCTGGCGTTCTGATAACCGCTGCTTCAAGCGGAGGCCAAAATTCTGGATTGGATAGCACCACACCAAGCCATAGGTTTAACGTCGTCATGTTATTGTTACCAACTTTGAGCTGAGACTTTAATATAGTTCAGCTGCGCTTCGACCTTATTTTTAAGGATCCTTCCAAATAACTTTTTACGCACTGTTATTTATTTATTTATTTATTTATTTATTATTTGTTGAAGACAAATGTTTAAAAGCGAAGCCAAGTGCCATACATACCCCACCCCACCCCACGTCGTTTCAGAAAGAGATAGCATAGAAAAGTAAATGGATTCAGGCAGCGTTGAACGAAGGCTCCACACTTTAGCACAACATTTTATCGCCGAGAAAGCAGTCAAACCGGGTCCAGAAGCTACTGCCAGCACCGCCTGTTCGAGCAAACGAGCGGCTGTTCTGGTGTGTTTGTTTAAAGGGGAAGAGGGCGACCTGCTCGTCATTCTCACAAAGCGAGCCTCAACTCTCTCTTCTAACCCTGGTGAGTGGTCAAATGGTCATGAATCATGATCAGCCTCACCCACCAACCTACCAGCATAAACATGAAATAGGGTGTGTTTGGTTGCAGGGGACGTTGCGCTCCCCGGTGGGAAAAGAGAGGAAGGGGATGCTGATGACGTGGACACTGCCCTTCGGGAGGCCAGGGAGGAGATCGGCTTGGATCCGTCCCTAGTCAACGTTATCACCGTTTTTCAACCCAGTTTAACCAAGGTCAGCTCATAACTCATCATAGCTGTACAATTGTACATTACTGTATGTAAATATAATTTTTGATAAATGTAACTAGTTATTTTAATCTACCATTATTGTATGCATGCATTGAACAAAAAAAAAAATTAATAAAAGAAAATGAAAAAAAAATTAATAAAAGAAATTACAACTTTTGCATCTTTAAATGGGAGCTTCTATTTGCATTGCACCAAAAATACAGTGAAAAAATATTTAAGATTTTCATTTTTTATGGTGGTTGACAGATTTTGAAAATAGAAACTCTTTTAGTTGTATTTTTCTTCTCCCTCTTTGGGAAGTAAAGCTAGCTTTGTGTTTGCTATGTATGTGCAGAATGGTATGACGGTGGTTCCTGTAATTGGCCTACTTTCAGACATAAAAGCATTTAGTCCAGCTCCAAATGCTGCAGAAGTTGAAGCAATTTTTTATGTTCCCTTAGAAATGTTTCTCAAGGATGAGAACAGAAGAGCAGAGGAGAAAGAATGGATGGGACATATGTATCTGTTACATTACTTTAACTATGAAGCAGATGGTAAAGAGTATGTCATCTGGGCTTTCACTGCTGGCATTCTGATAAGGGTTGCTTCAATTGTGTACCAAAGGCAGCCGGCATTTCTCGAACAGAGGCCGAAATTCTGGAATTAGGTTTTTATGTCAACCGGCATTGCTTGAGTCAATATGTATCAACTTTGAGCTTAGACAATGATCCAATTTGTGCATAGTTCATAGTATTAGTCTTCGCAAATATTGCCATGCCATGAACCCAAAGATCAGTGCAACACATAAAGCAATAATCTATTAGACACAAGATAACAGCACATTTCAATCAAAATAATTAGGAGAATCCATAGGCAACGAAATTGCATCCATATATGATAGTTCAACCGAGCTTCAAGCTTCTTCAAAATTGTGTGGGTGCAAAAATTACTCCCCAAGAAATCAATCCATTAGCACCCTAAACTTGAGGAAGTGGAAATACAATTAAGCAACATGTTTCATTGTCTATCCATGATCACACATGAGTGAAATCGTGAGATTAGTGGGACTTGATGGTCATGGCCTATCAAGGCAAACATGTCATATGCCCATATAAAAGGCTAGCATGTTTCATGCCACAAGGCAAAGCCCACAAAATCACCCACTACTATGCCTATGATGGAGTGATTGTGGATCATGGAGAACCCATGGAACTTGGAGTCTAAGACTCCACTGCTTATAAAAGGTCATTTTATCCGGCATTCAAAGAGACGGTACAACTTTTACTCTAACTCTCTTGCGATTATACTTCTATTGACTTGAGCGTTCGAGTGTTTTTTTGCAAGTACCCCCTCATTGTTGGCAATTGAAGATGATGTTCGGCTTCTCAACATTGATTACAACATTATATGTTGGAGGATCCGAAATTTTATGCTCCAACAATAGACCATAGATATTTTAGTGTAAATGTTCCCATGTAAAAGCGGTATGGGATTAATAGCCCAGAAAAAAAAAAAATTAAACAAAACAACAATCTTGCCAACAAAAATTTAAAGGACACTTTCAGTACCTCCTTCAGCTAAACACCTCATAGAATTTCGTAAGAGCTTCCGAATGTTTTAAGCAGTTAGGGATGAACCAAAGGGGATGTCGTGGGTGGGGGAGATAAGCGATGAACCAATTGTTAAATTTGTTTTCAATTTTTCATTCTTTTAGGATTTTTTTAGTATTTATTTAATTTTTAAATAGATATTAAATGTCAAGAAAATTAAAAACAATCCCATATTTTACAGAAAATTTAACAGAAGCTGATGGAGGTGTTAGAATAGCACTAAAAGTGAAGTTTAGGTGGTAAATAATTAAATTATTTTTATTGGGTGGTAAAGGCCCACACCCGTCTAGGTGATAATTATTGGGTGGTAAATAAAAATAGGGTTGGTGCCTGCCTTAAGTAGTTGGGAAGCGAGGCCAAGTGCTATACATAACCCCACGTTGTTTTTATCTTAGAAAGAGAAAACATAGAAAGTAATGGATTCAGGCAGCGTTGAACAAAGGCTCCAAGCTTTAGCACAAAACTTTGTCGCCGAGAAAGCAGTAAAACTGGGTCCAGCAGCTGCTGCCAGCACTGCCGCCGGTTCGAGCAAACGAGCAGCGGTTCTGGTGTGTTTGTTCAAAGGGGAAGATGGCGATCTGCACGTCATTCTCACAAAGCGAACCTCAACTCTCTCTACTAACCCCGGTGAGTGGTCAAATGGTCATGATCGGCCTCACCTACCCACCTACCCACCTACCAGTATAAGCATTGTAAAGACTAATTAGAGATAGGGTGTGTTTGGTTGGAAACTTGCAGGCGATGTTGCGCTCCCCGGCGGGAAAAGAGAGGAAGGGGATGCTGATGACGTGGACACTGCCCTTCGGGAGGCCAAGGAGGAGATCGGCTTGGACCCTTCCCTAGTCAACGTTATCACCGTTCTTCCACCCATTGTAACCAAGGTTAGCTCATGACTTTTTAACAAATGTAATTAGTTTTTTAAAACTACAATTGATGCATTTGAATAAATAAAAAAATTACAAATCATGCATCGTTAAATGCGAGCTTCTTGAATGATCATATTAAAGATTTTCAAATTTTCATGGTTAGCTTTGTGTTTGCTATACATGTGCAGCGTGGTATGGCTGTGGTTCCTGTAATTGGCCTACTTTCAGACATAAAAGCATTTAGTCCAGCTCCAAATGCTGCAGAAGTGGAAGCAATGTTCTACGCTCCCTTAGAAATGTTTCTCAAGGATGAGAATAGGAGAGCAGAGGAGAGAGAATGGATGGGAGCCAAGTATCTGTTACATTATTTTAACTATGAAGCAGATGGTAAAGAGTATGTCATCTGGGCTTTAACTGCTGGCATTCTTATAAGGACTGCATCAATTGTGTACCAAAGGCAGCCACAATTTCCTGAGCAGAGGCCGAAATTCTGGAGTGATGTTGCTCAGAACACTGCCCCCATGCCATAGGTTTTTATGTCATCGTATTCACAACCAGCATTGCTTTAGTCAATATCTATCGACTTTTAGGTTTTTATGTCATCGTATTCACAACCAGCATTGCTTGAGTCAATATCTATCGACTTTGAGCTTAGTCTTCGAAGTGTTAAGATATTCCACTATGCATATCTCTGGCAGAGACCGAAAACCTTCTCTATAGCAGTTTCTCTTCACTACTTTCTCACATGTTATAATAAGTAATGATCAAGTTTATGCAAAGTTCTTAGTCTTGGAAATATTGCCATGCCATGAACCCAAAGATCAGTGTAACCCTCAAAGCAAGAATTTATTATACACAAGATAACAGCACATTTCAATCAATAAATTGGGAGAAACCATTGGCAACGAAATTGGATCCATATAGATAGTTCAACCGAGCTTCAAGCTTCGCAAAATTATAGACCATAAAGCTTTTTAGTTATATAACATAGTAGTCAGAACATATGGATGGCCAAAAATCTAAATGTTCCCGTGTAAAAGCAGTATGGGATTAATATCCCAGAAAAAAAAAATTAAACAAAACAACAATCTTACAACAAAAAATAAAAGAACACTTCCAGTACCTCCTTCAGCTAAACACCTCGTAGAACTTCTCAATGACAAGTAAGCCTGAGTCAATTGACTCTAAAGGATCCTTCCGAAGACGATGCCTTAAGCAGTTAGGGATGACAGTAGCAATATCCTCTGGAGTCACCTTATCTCTTCCCTTTAAAGCAGCCAAAGCTTTTGCAGCCCTGTTAGTCACTATGTCTCCTCTCAATCCATCGACATTCAACTCTGCACAAACCTTAGAGATTTTCACCTTGAGATCCTGATCAATCTGAACAGATGGAAGGTAACTTCTAGCTGAGCCAATTTGTTGTTGAAGCTTTTCTTGCTCAGCTTGGTAAGAACCCCGAAATTCTTTGGGGTTTTTGTCAAACCGAGCTCTCTCCTCCACAATCTTCACTCTGAGCTCTGCATCCCTTACAGTCCCAACTTGTGCATGCATCCCAAAACGGTCAAGCAACTGTGGCCTCAGCTCCCCTTCTTCTGGATTGCCAGAGCCAATCAAAATAAACCGGGCAGGATGTGAAATCGAAATACCCTCTCTCTCCACTGTGTTCCATCCGGAGGCAGCAGAATCCAATAAAACATCCACTAAATGATCATCCAAGAGATTAACTTCGTCCACATAAAGAATTCCTCTGTTAGCTTTTGCAAGAAGGCCAGGCTCAAATGCCTTGACACCCTCAGTTAGAGCTTTCTCAATATCAATTGTCCCACAGACTCTATCTTCTGTAGCACCCAAGGGTAAATCAACCATGTTGATCTTAGTCATGGTGACAGGAAGTTGCTCCCCTTTCACAATGCTCTCTCTAACTTCCGCTCCCATGGACTCTGGATCTTCGGGATCCGAATTGTAAGGGTCACCATAAACTACCTTGATTTCGGGAAGCAAGTCAACCAAGGACCTAACAGTTGTGGATTTTCCAGTTCCCCTATCCCCCATGATCATGACACCCCCAATCTTGGGATCAATCACATTCAGCAGAAGGCACAGTTTCATCTCATCTTGCCCCACTATAGCAGCGAAGGGATACACTGGCCTCTGGTTTTCCTTTGCAGCAGCTCTCTGTGCCTGAATATGATCAGGCTGAACAGAATTAATCACACATACATTGAAGAACCTAATCTTTATATAGCATGTGAATTCCCAAAAATAAACTTAAAAACTTTTTCTTGAAATTGAAACTTATCTTTGATTATTTACTCAGTTAAGGAAAGAAATTTTGGGTTCAACAAAATCTTTCTCCAATTACAGAAAATTTCAACATCCAAATTTAACTATAACCTATGCACTTCAGCCAATAATATTAACAATGAAATTTTTTAATCAAAATTTGTTGTCAAATAGAGTGAGGGAAGACAATTAGATAAAGAGGGTTCAGACCTGCTCAGCAGGGGTGATTTCAGTGGCAACATTGGTCACTGCCACATGAAATTGAGGCCTCTTCTTTCCATGAATCCCAATCCCTCCATAAAACTTCTTCCCATAACTCTTCCCTGCAATGCAAAAAATCCAAGTCATTCACATTAATAACAATCCACTAGCCAGCCAGCTAAACCCACATCTTATATCCCTTTAAAACACAAACAAACACCAAATATGAACTGGGTTTTTCATATCTTCAACCAAATTACAGAAAACAAGCCTCAATCATGGTACACAAAGCTGGAAAAAGAAGTGGGTTTTTCTTTTATTTAGCGGGAAATGTACCTAGGCTTAAAGAGAGAGAGGGAATTGAAGCCCTGGAAGTGCGAGATGAGAGAGGTCGAGAGGCCAAGGCTGCCGTTGAGCAGCTTCCGAGTACGGATGCCATGTAAAAGTGTTTATGGAAAGCGGTCTGTGTTCGAGTGTGGGTATATTTCTTGAGCTTGAGAGCTTGACATGGTTTCTAACTTTCTATTGGTCTGTGAGGCTGAGGATAAGTGGATAGATTTTCAGTCGTATCTTGTACTGTATGTTACTTGCTCTGCTTTGTCGTATACCAAAAAGAAGAAGAGAAAAAAGTGGTGGCCATTATTAATTAATTTTTGAAAAGTTTCTTAAATAATTTAATAAAAAGTAACAATAGCATATAATTACTTATGTTTTGGGATTGCTTTTATAAGAAGCGTTTTTTACCACAAGTGCTTTTATTAGAAGCTAAACTTTTCTAAATAAATTCAAGTGTTCTTTGCAATCGAAAAAACACTTCTTTTTTTGTTGCCAAAATGCTTCAAATGCAATTTTAGTTACGAACAATTGTGTTTAAGCATTTCATATGCAATTCCAAATAGTATATTAATCAATTGATTAAAAAAACCATTAATTTATAAAGTGTGGCGTGGTGGTGCGGGGTAACCGTCGTGATGGTGAGCAGGAAGGCTTGATAGTGGTGGTGGTGATGGTGTTATGATTTAGAATTGTATTTGTTGATGCCAAAAATGGGGTTCAACTTAGATAGATATGGAGTGGTGGATGATATGTGAAGGCGTGGGCTTTTAGCATGTAAGTGCCTTCGGTAGGCAAGGCAAGAGACTGCCTTCGGCAGGTTGGTGTCTTTGATGGGTTAAGTGGAAGATAAGGACCTTCAGCAGATTGATGACTAGTGAAGGCCTTTGACAGTCAGTGTCATTCAACATAAGTAAAGTAAAGGGTATACTAGTGATTTGCCCCGTGAACTTGTACCTTGCTTTCAATTAACCCCCTATCCTTTTTTTTTTTTATAGAAAATTAAGGATATGAATATTACAACATTTCATCCAATTTACCGTTAAATATGAGGGTAAAATAGTCATCTTGTACGTGAAAAATAAAATAAAAAATAGAAAATAGAAATAAAAACTGAAAACTAACTCTCTCTCTCTCTCTCTCTCTCTCTCTCTCTCTTCCTTATTCTTCTTCTTCTTCTTTTTCTTCTTTTCTCTTCCCTCTGTCTCCGTCTTCTTCTATGTGTCTGTTTCCATCTATGGTCGTGAAGTCGTCGTCGCTATCGTCGAGCCTAGATCTTGCAGCCATCGTTGTCGAGCCAAAATTGTGGGACTTGGGGGCAAGGGTTGCGGATAGGTTTCAGCTGGGGCTTGGAATGGATCTCGCGTGGGGATAGGTTTCGGCTGGGGTTTTAGGGTTTAGGGTTGATGGGGTTGCTTGGCGATAGGGTTGCTGGGGGAGGGGAGTGGTGATAGGTTTGGTTCAGTGTCTTCTTTTTTTTCTTTTTCTTTTTTCTTTTTTTTTTCTTTTTGTTGTTGTTGTTGTTGTTGTTGTCAATTTTCCTTTTCTTTTTTTGTTGTTGTCAATTTTCCTATTTTTTTGGGTTTCTAGGTTTGTAGATGCTGGTTGGGTTTCTGGGTTCAGAAGATGAGACACGAAGAGGAAGAGCATTCAATAATACTATTTTAATCAATTTCTACTAGTGAGGGCAGCCCATCTCACTGCACTAGGATTTTTTTTCCTTTAGTTCTTTTTCTTCTTCTTTTTTTGGGGTCAATTTTTCTCTTTTTCTTTAATTTTTCTTTCTAAAAAAATAATTTAACTGAAAATTGGATAAAATCTTGAGGATTTAGTCGGTATGGGGGAAATTGGAGAAAAAAGAAAGTTCATATCCTTAATTTTCTATAAATAAAAAAAAGATAGGAAGTTAATTGAAAATTAAGTACAAGTTCAGGGGGCAAATCACTAGTATACCCTAAAGTAAATAAGCATGCAGAAGACAAAGTATATGTGGTTCACTCGAATGATGGACTACGTCCAAGGAGAAGGATGTTCTCATTATGATTATGTTTGTTTACATTTGTACAAGGTGATTAGACTCAAAAATTAAAAAAAAGAAGGCCCAAGGATCAAGGTACAAAGCCTGAGAATCCAAGGCCCAAGGGTCAAGACCCAAGACCTGAAGACCAGAAGAGAGAGTCCTTTTCTAAGGGGAGAGTAGTTTTCTTTTATAGGTGAGGGGGAGTCTCCATCTTTTGTAGTTTTCCGATGTGGGACTCCTTACCTTACTTAGAGTTGTGACTTGTGGTAATGCTTCTTTGACTAAGGTGATGACCTCTCAAAGCATGGCATGTGGATGATCTAGCCTAGCTAGTTGCTCGGCTAGTTACGGTACCAACAGTATTGAAAGTTTATTAATCCAATATGATTCTTATAATAAAATTAATTATTAATTTAAAATGATGATGTGACAAATTAAATCCACATTTGAGAAATAATTTGCATTGTCTTTATCTCTTCTCCGAATTTGTAAACAACACGTTGCACTTGAACGGGAGCTTCTTTCCTAAATTTGGTGCACAAATTTTCTTGTCACTAGCATTAATATATCACTTCCAAGTGACAAAAGTTTTGGATCAAACTTAATTCTTCCACTTTCTCATGACAAAATAAGGGGGGAAACCAATCATATGATGCACTAGATAATGCGTAAATTACATTCCATTATTATACATAGACTTACAAGTAATGTGGTCTTGCAAAACATCAAGGCAATCCAAATTCATGGCAGCTAAACTTCTCCATCTCCTCTCTAAAAGCAGGCATAGCACTCTCCCTCAGATTCACCAAAACCCTGAACCCATCTTTCTTCCCTTCTCTCACAGACGAAGAAGGAGGCAAGAAAAAGCAAGGCTCAACGCTGCCAAGCAAGTTCCTTGAGAGGGGCAAAACGGTCACAGGACCTCCCCAGCCAAAATCAACTGTGGAGTGTCGCAGGTGCCTCCAATCTGTGAACCCACTCACCTCTTTCCCTGCCGTGATCCCTTCCTCGTAATGAAGCTCCTGAAAATCGATGAAGGACCGCACGTACTCATCCGTGGTGTTGCTTTTGCTCTTCTTAATCTGCTCGGCCACTGTCCAAATGGGTTTCTCTGTTAAGTCTTTGGCGCTCAGCTTCACGTACATTGCAACGCATCCGTTGCCCCAATGCCCAGCTGGTAATGGAGGGTTCACTAGTTTTCGTACGTTGATTGAGTATGCAAATGTTACCTTCTCATTACTTGGAAGCTTCAAGGCTTTAATCCTGTTTCATCCCATCATTTCAACAAAAAAAAAAGGGAGTAAATTTAGAATTCAGTTCAAATTTCGTCCATTTAGATTCATGTATCCATTTTATTTTTGCACTAATGACCTCATGAGTCCAATTGGACAAAATTTGAGTTCGATAATATGACTGAATAATAGTATTCATAATTGTAATCAAATTGTTTTATCAACTAAAAACCTGAATTGGAGGTCTAATCCTACCATGCTTAAATGTTCAATTTTATTAAAAAAAATAAAATTAAAATACTATTTATGCAATTTGGTCGAGGACAAACTTAAAAATTTACTGAAAGAAGAATAGCGCAAAGAATTTTATCAACTTACTTGGCGCGCCATATAAAAGCACCTAAAGCTTCAAAAGTGGTGAAGCTCAGCCCGGACTGCTCCAACAGCTCGCTCTTGAATCGCTCCAGACACTCGTCCCTCACATGAAAGCACTCCCTCGCAACTGGGCCCACCATCTTTGCCTGTCCGTACGGTGAGAACCCCCTGTCCAAACTCAAGCACTCATGCAGTACCGGTGCACCAATTCGGGGCGGGTCTCTGGGTCCCAGCAAGCCCGCCCGGTCCCATACGGGCTCAACCGACACCCGGGTCGCCCCGCGAGCCAACTCAGCCACGGCATTGAAAAACTGGGTGGCGCCCATTCCGTCGCACAGCGCGTGGTTAATGGCGGCTCCGAGGGTGAACCCGAACTGTTCGACGAAATCCGCAGCCGGGTCATCGAGGTAGCTGACGGAGTCGAGAGTGGCGTCCGAAGAGGCAAAAATAAGGGGGACGCCTTGGCCGTTGGAGCAGAAGAGCTCGAAGCGGTGGTCGGGGCGGCGGCGGAGAGTGGCGGCGAGAGGGTAGTAATGGACGAGAGCGGTGGAGAGGGCTGCGGAGATGACGTGGCGGGGGTTGGAGGAGGGAGCGGATAGGTTGGTGTTGTGGTAGGCGCGGACATAACGAAAGCTGACGCGGAGGTTGGGGTCGTTGTCGAGGTGGGAGAGAGAGAGGACGTGATCGTCTTTAAATGGGGGTGTAGATGGAACGATGAGAGTGGTTTCTTTGATTTGAACGCGCATTTTTGGTCACTTGGTTTGGTAGTTGCTTGGCTGGTTTGGTGCTTTGGATGCTTCATTCTTTTTTGATACGGTGTGGTGGTTTATAATAGAGACTGAGGAGCGACGTGGAGCATGCGGCACCGTCCACTGGCCTCATGCATCATTTCATGTCATTTCTGAGTGAAGACTTTCCAACCAGAGACCATTAAAAAATAATAATAATAATAATAAAACAAAAAAAGACTTCCATTCCCAACAACCCCCGCCAAAGTTGAGTTGGGGCTCCCACTTCTCTGACTTATTGCATGACCCTTTTAATTGGGCCGAAATCCTTGAAGCCCTTTTAGTTGGGCCCATTGAGGTGAAGCCTTAATAAACCTGGAAAATAAACCTGGATTTATTTATAGCCTTCCAAGTTGAAAGAGCGCGCTAATCTGTCATTAACGTCCTTCCCCCGCCTCTTCAAATACAGAGTGTGCCTCAGACCACTGTACCAAGCGACGAGCTCTCTCACAACTCGCTCGCACCTCTGCAATCTCTCTCGCTCTCTCATATACGACTTTGAAATCTGTGAGTTCTCAATCCCTTATCGTGCTCTCGTTTCTTATAGGCTTTCGGATTCACGAGCTGTTCCTTACGCGCATTTCTTGATCAATTCGAGATTTTCCTGGAAAGTAGAATTTATCAATTCCCTTGTTTGTTGAGCTTGCTTTAGATCGTAGGATTGAATCTGCAATTTCTCCCTTTAACCTCTAAATTTCTTGTTTTCGTTCCTATGGCTAACCGTTTTTTAAAGTCAAATTAGAGGACAGTGTATGTTTTGGTTGGTTCCATCGGTCATTGTTTTGATTTTGCCCTTAATGATCAAGTTTTCGCTGCTTAAGAAAAATGTACAGCATTTAACATTTTCTTACACTAATTTGAGGCAGATTTAATTCTGTCTTTATTAGCTTTGATTTGTTCTATTCTGGTAAGTATAAGTTTTTGTAAACTGAGGTTCATAGTTTTCTTTTTCCTATCTTATAATTGTTATTTTAACAATTTTGGTTGGGTCGCATGAAAAGTTTGTAATGTGGACAAGGACTGAAATTTGTAATGTTGACAGTTACTGTCTGTTTGCAGAGTATAATAAGATCTACAAGTCTGTTCATATGGCAGAATCAAAGAAGGTGACATCTTCCTCTGTTAATCCAAAAGAAAAAAGTTCACTGCTAGGTATTCTCTTAGTTTCCCTTACCTTTATCTTTGCTGTGTAAGTCATCAGATCAGATGCTACAAGAATGTCGAAGTAAGAGTTAACAGCTTGCAATTTTTCATTTGACTTGAACAATGTAATCAAATCGCGTGTTCCTTTTATAACAGATGACGAAATTGGTAATGAATTTCTCAGCTCCTGGAAATCAATGTCAGTAATGGAAGACGATGGAATGGATTTTAGCTTTGATACGGTTTCCAAAGGCAAGAAGAAAGTGTTTGATTTTGAGAAGCTGTAAGTACTGCCAAAAAAGTTTGTTACTAAATTATAGAACCATCTTTGCTAAATATTTAATCGGCTCCTTTATTTAGTTCTTAAATATTTGTGTGACAGTTACTTTTTATCACTTCTGTGTGCTATCATGGGTAAATTGGCTACCATTATTTGTTTAGTTGGTGTATCTGGTATTTGTGTAATGTGCAAAAAATTGTTTTGAAAAGGAGGATAGGATTTGGGATTCAAAGGAATCAAGTCATTCCAGAAATGCTTATTCCAGTTTTACAGATATAGCTCCAATATATGTAAGTCAGTGTGAGTCTACAAATTCCAGACCACTTATAAAGCTCTTTTTCCCCTATCCTGTTCAGGGATATGGATTTCAATCTAGATGGTGACTTTAACAAGTTATCATCTTTCAAAATGGACATGCCAGACCTTGATTTCTCAAGCCCGCCCAAGAAATCTGCAAAAACCAAGGAGAGATCTGAAGAAGAACCTTCCAGAGGAAATCGTCAAGGGAAACAAGACCGTTTCAAATTCTCTTTTGACTTCAATGAGTGAGAGATCTGAAGAAGAACCTTCCAGAGGAAATCGTCAAGGGAAACAAGACCGTTTCAAATTCTCTTTTGATTTCAATGAGTGAGCTCTGTATCTTCTTGTTGTGCTGATATTTTGAATTACATAGCAATGCAAGTGTACTTGTACTCTGAATTTTACAACTGGTTACCTGACATTTTTTCTTTGAAGTAGGTTGGATAATTTCGATTTTGATTCAAGCTTAAAGAAAAGTGAAAATAGTTGTAATAAGAATCGAGATAGCAGCAAAGAGGTTGTTTCTGATAGAAGTGGGTCTCAAAACTCTAAAATTGACCTGGCTGAAGAGATTAGTACACTTGATGGTGATTCTGAGAGAGTGGCCACTTCAAAGGTTGATACTACATTACCTGTTTCGGGCAACGGTAATTCTATTAATGATGATTGTGCATCAAAATCTCAGACCTCAGAAAATTTGGAACTGCCATATGGTCCAACGTCTCCTGAAAAAGTAATGACTAAGAGGGTAGAAGAATCAGATCAAGAAATTCATTTATCTGAGGGGGCAATGCCCACAGAACCATATGCTAATCAGGCACATGATTTGCCTCATCAACTTGTAGGAGGAGTTGATTCAAATGGAGATACTGTTTTTGAAGGAAAGAATGATGACTATTCTCATATCACAAACGTAAATACCTTTTCAAGTGGAAAAGAGGATGTTAATGAGAAAATGCCAACAAGAGACGGTACTGATCATGAAGACTTGCCTTTGAAGGATTCATCTCCAATGAATATCGCTGGTTCGGGGAGTAATAACGGTGGTAGGAGCAAGTCAGGCAGTGATATCTTGACAGAAAACTTTGAACCAGCTATAGATGATTCAGATCTTGAAGACAATTCCAATGCATTGGTCTCAAGGGAGACACCACATAACATCAAAAGTATGAAGGAAGACCAAAATTCAACTGGAAAGCTTCCCTTATCCATGCAGGGCAGGTCAGGAAATCTGTGAACATCTTCTTAGCTGCCGCCTTTGTTTTATTTGATTCCATCCTTCACTCCATGACTTAATTTTGAACTATAAGAACTAGAAACTGATGTCATAGTCAAGATGGTTTTGAATATAGAAACTAACAATAATCAGAAAACATTCAGGTGCATCTGTTATTAAAACTATAAAGAATGAGTAGAACCATTTAATGTATGAGTTGATGCACGTGTCATGGTCTAATTATCTTCAAAATGCTTATGATGAAGTTTGAACACACTGTATACTCTGTTTAGCATGTATGTTCTTGAATTGTGTAGATAGCTCTGATAGGGGAGCAAACAAGCGAGCTTCAGTTTTTTTCAAAGTGTTATTTATCTTTTCCCCTTCTTTGCTTGACAGTGAATCTGCAGTTGATGAAGTTACACTGACAAATGAAATAAAAACCGGACACTTCCACTCAAATGTTTCTAAGAGATTGGAGGAAGCTGGATCTCAATTGTGTCAGCCATCATTAAAAGGAGCAAAATCTCTCTCGTCTGGAATCAAAAGAATTGGTAGCATGCATCTACATCCTGCAATTGAGCAAGGGTGAGTCATAGTTTTCCATAACAATTGCATAGTTGGCATTTAAGTTTATAAACTGTTTCATATAATCTTCAACAGGGTGGGTGCTATTGCTAATGATGCACAAATTGGAAGCAAATTGCTCGCTGCTCCTGTATTAGTTGATAGAGAAACCAACGCCAAACATGTAATATCTGGAAGGTAAAGAATGCTAACATTCAGTAATATCAGTATAGGACTCGAGGTACAATCTTCCCATCATCTTCTTTTATTTTCTTTTTCGTTTTTGAAGAAATAAATAAATAAATTCTAGAAGCTTCTACGTTGACATTATATACTTTGAACTGAATCACTTAAAATTGGATGACATCATTTTATTAAATAGAAAATACAATAAAGCTATTGTTGATGTTAAATAGCAGTGCCCCTTGTAATCATTGACAGGGAGGACTTCAATTCTGCTGGTGTACCAAATAAGGCCAAACTGGTTGGGAATTCACTCATGTGTAATAAAGAAGTAACAGAAAGGGAACCTGTCCTAGGAAGTGGACAGAGAAAAAGTCTCAATGATCTCAGGTAGGTAACGCATCTCTAAATGACCTTGTTCTATCTTAAAATTTACTTTGACTGTTTGAAGTTCAACTTCTCTATATGCAGGGTTTTCACTATGATCTCTTCTTTGATAGATTTAATTGTTCACAAATGTTCCCAACCAAGTCTTCACTTTTTTAGAATGTTTAATAATATGGATTGTCTATGTTTCCCATTATTGTGGTGTTCTTTCAATATTTCAATCTTCGTTATGTTAAATAAATTTATTTCAGATGACATCAAACTGCCAGATTTTGTGAGATTTGTTCTTTGCTTTTCTTGCCTCGAAGAATGGCGCTATGACTGATGTTATCATTCAAATATTTAATTGTGCTCATTTCTCAGGCACATGGAAACCTATTTTATATACTGTTCTGCACCATTATTTATTGTCCACAGGACCTTCTAGTGAAATTTCTGATTGCCAATATAAGTTTTTCTAGGCATGTGGAAATTTCTTCCAGTCAAGCTAGTCATTCCAGCTCAAGTGAGAAGACAATTAAACCTAGTACTCAGACATGTGTAAGTTCTAAATTCATGCTGTCGAGCCTGGAGTCTATGAGGAACACTAAGATCATTACAGCTGAAGGGAATAAACTTTTTACTGATAAACCTGCCAAGAAGAAAACTGAACTTTCTACCTTGAACATTTCAAAGTATGATGCAAGTGTAATTATTCCTCTTCTTCAGTTCTTTCCTTTGCAGAAATGTTTTGATTGTCATTTTGAATGTTTTGATATCTCTAAATGTAGGAATATTGGTGGCAATAAAGTTTCATCTAATGCTGCATCTCAAAAAGAAATAAAATCCCTGAGTTCAGAGAAACACATGGAAGTAAAAGGCAATGTGGAATTGAAGACTGCCCAGATTGTTGATCGCAGTGAGAAACAAATGCCACCAAACCTTTCCTTGAAGCGAAAAATATTTGAGGTCTTATA